CTGTGGCCGCTTCCGTGTGAGGCACTCTCGCTGCCTCTACCAAGCCCACAGCCGCTTGCATCATGTACCCCCAAAGTGGCTATGAGTGGACCCGCTAGGTTAGAAATGGCAAAACTAACCCGGTAGAAATCTTGGTCCCCAGAGCATGCATGAAAGAGGGTTATTCAAACCTCGCTTGACCGGTCCTGAAAGCTCCGACTTCCACCATTTATGAGACGCCCTGGAACTGGGGAGATGGCAGGAGGACGGCAGCAGAGGTCCCGCTTACTCGTTTATATCTGGTCATCTGAACAACTACTTTGAAGACAGCATCGTGTAATACCACAACCATTGTTGAATTTCTATTACTTTGTTTAGTGAAATCTTATATCATTTCTAATGCTTTTTTTTCCTATCGCTATTTTGTATTCTTTAAAACTTATAAATAGAGGCCAGGCATGGCGGCTCACGCCTGTAATCCCAGCACTTGGGAGGCGGAGGCAGAGGCAGGAGGATCGCTGTGAGTTCGAGACCAGCTGGAGCTACAAAGTGAGTTCAATGCCAGCCTGAATTTCATAGTGAGACCCTGTCTCAAAGACCAAGAAATAAATAAATAAATAAAAATTGTAAATAAATTAGAAGTCAAGCATGGTTCCACGTGTCTATAATCCCACTTATCTGAAAAACTAAAGCAGGAAGATCACAAGATTGAGCACTCCCGAGCAACTGGCTTAACTTTTTGAGACCTTATTTCCAAAAACAATGGGCGACAGATATACTCAGTGCAAGTGCCCCGGGTTCAATCTCCAACCCCCAGTATCAGAGCAAAGAGGAGGATAAGGAGAAGTAACAAGAGGAGGAGGAAGAGGAGGAGGAGGAGGAGGAGGAGGGGAAAGAAGAGGAGAAAAAGGGGGAAGAGGAGTATGGGAAGAGGAAGGCAAAAGAGGAGGAGGAGGCAGGGGCAGTAGAGGAGGCCTGGGATGTGGAGTCAACTGCATATATTTCTAAAAATGTAAAACTCCAACTCTAGAAGTCCTAGGAGGACATCACCGCAGGTGCAGGACTAAATCAATCCCTTCCGAGAGGAAGCGTGAGGGGCTCGCCTGGCCATCTCCTCCTCTGAGCTTGTCCAGGCTCTAAAGGGCCAATCAGCATCTTTCCATCCCCCCCATCCACCCTGCATCCACAGTCAGCCCCACCCACACATCTGTTCACGCCCATCCACGCTGGTCCTGGCCTGGCTCACGCTTGTTGGAACAGGAAGGGCACACAGTGCCCAGGAGATGGTTTGGCTTCCGGCTCTACTGCTAAGCCCTGCTGTCAGACCTGCGAGGTGACTGCCCAGGTCTCCCCGCCTGCCTTGCTGCTTTCCCGGGGGGCATTTTCATTCTTTTTGGTTCCCTCACAAATTATTGAGAATCCCAGCACCTCAAGGATACTTTGCTAAGCACCTTCTCCTTGGACCTCTCTTCACCATCTTTTTAAATGGGTGAGAAGTTTTTCTGGTCAGAACGGTGATTAGAAAACCTTGGCCCTGTTGTTAAAATGTTTTTGTCCCGCCCTGGCTTTGTGTCACCATGCGTATATCTTGTGTCCATCTTCTCATCTGTGCTTGTTTTGGCATCTTTCAAGCTGTAGGGGCTCCTGCCCTGTGTGGTATGCCTGAATCCTTGTACCCTGAAGCTATTTTTCTTCCAAGCAGAAATATTTAGGTTTTAAACAAATAGGTCAATCAGACAGGAATCTGAATGTATTTGAGAAATCACATCAACTTCAACCTGAAAAAAAAAAAAAAAACTAGACCCACGTAGTTTCCAAGGAACTCATTTTCCCTAAGTGCTTTTGCACTCCTTTCCTGTCTTCTTAAAGAAATCTCTAGTAGAGAGAGAAGTCCCTACTTTGTGGGGCTTGAGGCGCTAAAGGCGTGTATGTCACCAAAGACACCTTGTGATCACATCAAAAACTATGATGAGCCGTGAAAAACACAAGCTTGGGACCAAATTGCACTTCAGACATTTTTATGTTACCTACCAGTGCTTATCTCAGTTTTGTACTCTCTCAGTGTGTGTGTGTGTGTGTGTGTGTGTGTGTGTGTGTGTACAGTCAGCAACTGTGCTAGCTCACCTTCCCAGTGTCAAAGCAGGCAGGCATTGCTGGTCACTTTTGCTGGGTATAATAGTCCCCTGCATGAATGTACCATAGTTCACTTGTGTGCCGAGGGATGCCTTGTTTGTTTTTCAGCTGTTACATTTCATAGTCTGAGGAGAAAACAGGAGAGAAGGAATCATATTTCACACAATTGCTCTGCTATTACTGTTACTCTGAAACAGTAAGGCCAGTGTTTTATACAGAGATTTAAGCCCTAGCTAACTACTCTTTCAGTCCTGGAAGGTTCAAGTGACAAATCCCAGCAGCCTGATGAGATGGTAACACCAACACCAGTGTGCTGAGTAAGTTTTGCTTTTGGCTTCATCCTCTGCTGTTGTCTAAACCGAGGATTCTCACACCAGTAGATCTGCAGTCCCAGGGGATATTTGGCAACACCTAGCTTGTGGACACCAAGAATGCTACTTGATTTCCTACGATGTAGAGGACAGACCCCACAATGAGGAATGACCCAACTCAAAATGTCAACAGTTCCAAAGCTAAGAAGCCCCACTCTATCTCTGCCTACACTAATGGGGACTCAAGCTATACCCTGGGGACAAGAGAGTCTTCACTGGAGATTGTAAGAGGACCCCCTGTGGAGTCTACACCAGAAGAAATTAAGAAAAATCATCCCTCAGGAAATCTGGGTTATTGGAAGTATGGCTTCCATTTGCTGTTTCATCCCACCCTAGACCCCAAAGCCATTGGCTTCTTCCAGGGCCATTTCTTTCCACTGAGGTGCCCACACTGAGGCCAGAAGGCTTTCCCAAATCCCAGAGCTCTTTGTGTCCCTACCCTGCCTACAGTCACTCTATGCCTCCATGTCAGCCCTACATCAAACCCGGACACCCTTCTCTAGGGTCCAAGGCCCAGCCTAGGCAAGTAGATGATGGCCTGCTTGCCGACCCCAGCTCCCCAACCCCAGCTCCCTGACCTCAGCTCCCCTGTCCTCTAAGGTCGCCTCTGACCATGCCATGCCTAATGAGCATTTTGCTCTAAGTCCCATTCATTGGCCTAGGGAGCCCTTCCTTCCCTGTTCATTACTGATTAATTCCTACTTGTACTAAAAAGTTCAGCGCCAGCACTACATTCCCTAGAATTGTTCCCTGGCTCCCCACCCACTCTGCTGTGTTCACGGATGCTGAGCTTAGTGCAGAGAAATGTAATCATCTCATTGCCTAAAGGCACCCTGCTGGTGAGCTATCCAGACTGAAAACTGAGACTTTGTCCTTTCAGTCTTAGAGTCCACCCAAGTCCCTGGCTCTTAGTGACCCTTCCCACAGTGCCAGTTATTAAAGACCCCTGGAGTGAGTTCCAATCTCCTAGGTAGGTTATAACACACAGCAGGAAAGGAAAGAAAGAGCAGGTTACAAAGTAGAGGGGTGGATAGCAGGAATCTGGGACCATCACTTGCTCTCTAGAAATAAAAGGTTCTGAATCTCCAAGTGGACCCCATTTTAATAGCCAGCAAAGGGGAGGGTGTTCTCCAGGAGCAGCATAGAGGCAGGGGTAAAATGGGCAAGGTTAACATCATAAAGGAAGCAAGCCAAGATCCAGCTCCACACCTGGGAGCTAATCTCATGGACCAAGAGGAAGGTGATTTCCACATTTCAAAACTGGCCTACAAGGCAGGTAGGGTTAGGAGAGCCTAGGGCAGATCCTATGTCAAGTTATATTCCATGGTCCCCAACACCTATTTAAAAACTATATAATACTAGATGAGTGGACTAGTGGATGGATGGATAGATGGATGGATGGATGGATGGATGGATGGATGGATGGATATGATGGTGGGATGGATAGAAATGGATGGAAAGGTAGAGATGAATGGTAGGATGAAGATGACTGGATAGGTGGATATGGATCATGGATGCATGAATGGATGGATGAGCATGAATGGCTAGATGGATATGGATGGGTGGATATGAACCAATGGATATAAACAGATATATGGATGGATGGATGGATGGATGGATGCATGGATGGATGGATGCATGGATGCATGGATGCAAGTCAATGGGGGATATGGATGGATGGATGGATGGATGGATGGATGGATGACTAGAAGGAGAGTAGGTAGCTAGTAGGCAAAAGGTGAATGGAGCACAAGGAAAGGGCAGTCAGACCAGCCAGAGATAGGTTAGGCAGACTTTCAGGGGCACCCTATCCATCCTGACTCTGCAGGTGAATGGATGCTAAGCCAGCTAAGGATATGGGTGGATGGAGATGAATAGAGATAGATGAATGGCTGGCTGGCTGGCCGAATGGATGGATCAATGAATTGATGAATCAATAAATCGATAGAATGAATAAGTAGATGAAGAAATTAATATGAATGGGTGACATGGATGGATGAATACATGGATTAATGTGGATGGATGGATGGATGGATGGATGGATGGATGGATGGACGGACAGACAGATGATGGAACTGCTCTCCAAATGAAGCAAGTCTTCTGATGACATTGGGGCACTAATAGAACAAGAAGAGCATGTCACTTTACTTAGCCACTTTTATTGGACTCTTAAATCTATCCCACTGAAGGAGTGCAAGGTGGACGTGGGCACACTCGCAAGTGAGCCCACACAGGAAAAGAGAAAGCATCTTGTGTCAGGAAAGACATGGTATCGTGGCAAAGCAGCTCTTCTCAGTTGGGGGCAGAGCTCGGGGGGCCCCTGTCCGTGGGCAGGGGCTGTCCAGTGGGTCATCGGGACACTGACGTTCCTGGTGAGTTCTTTGAAGCGCAAGCAGATGGTGAGTGACAGAGCAGAGAGCAGAATCTACCTAAGTCACAGTGAGCCTCACAAAGGATGATCCCGTTTCCTTTCCAGCTTGTGGCTTGTTCTACAGGACCTGGTGGACTGGAGCCTGGTCAGCGACCAGCCGGCTTGCCAGCAGCAGGCTGGGCCGATGTCTCACGGGGAACTGGGCTGGCAGCCTTGGCCTCCGCGGGCTGGCCTGGAGTCACCTCAGAGACATCGGGCTTGCACGGGGTGGCATCAGGGCAGTCGGGCTGGCTGGAGGTGGACTTCTTGTCCTCACGTTTGTCAGAGTCGGACTCAGCACACGGCTGGCGGGGGTACAAGGGGCGGTAGGAGTAGGAGGCGAAGTAGGCTGGGCGGCGCAGGACAGAGTAACACGGCCGGTAGCAGGCGGGCCGGTAGCAGGGGGGCCGGTAGCAGGCTGGACGGTAGGAGATGGAGGCCACGTAGGGCTGCCTGTAGGTGATGGGCGTCGTGCACACGGGACCGTAGACCGGGCGGCAGATGGGACGGTAGACGGAAGTGCTGCACGGGGGGTTGCAGGAGCTGGGTATGTAGAAAGTCCGGGGACGGCAAGTTGGTTGGCAGATGGCAGATGCGGATGAGCCCGGACGGTGGCACTGAGGTTGGCTGGAGGTGGATGGGATGGACACAGGCTCACCGCAGACAGAATGACAGCGCCTGAGTACATAGGAAGGCTGGCACGGGCTGGGCATGCAGACACAGGGGACGCAGGGGTTTGGCTCCGAGCAGACGGGCTGGCAGGGGCTGGAGACCCCACGCGAGGACTCTTCACAGTCGGAGGCACACGGGGCCTCGCAAGAGCTTGGGACGCAGCAGACAGGCCGAACACAGACAGGCTCGCAGACCAGGGCCATGCAGCCAGCGGGCTGACAGACACTGCCACCTGCGCACGACGGCTCGCAGGGGCTGGAGTCGCAGCAAGCAGGCTGGCAGCTGCTGGTCGCAGAGCAGACGGAGGGACAGCAGCTGGGCGTGGGGCACACCGGCTGGCAGCAGACAGGCTCACACACCATAGGCTGGCAGGAAGCAGGCACTGTGCAGACTGTCGGGCAGCAGCTGGGCTCGCAGATGACTGGCTGGCAGGAAGCGGGGACACAGAGGACCGCTGGCTGGCAGGGAGTGGTGTCGCAGCACATGGGCTGGGCACAGCTGCTCACGGAACAGGACGGCTCGCAGATGGTGGCCTCCAGGCACACGGGTTGGGCACAGCTGCTGACGGGGCAGGCCGGCTGGCAGATGGTGGCCTCGAAGCACACAGGTTGGGTGCAGCTGCTGATGGGGCAGGCGGGCTGGCAGAGGGTGGCATCGCAGCACACAGGTTGGGCGCAGCTGCTGACGGGGCAGGTCGGCTGGCAGATGGTGGCCTCCAGGCACACGGGTTGGGCGCAGCTGCTGGCAGCACAGGCCGGCTCGCAGATGGTGGCCTCAAAGCACACAGGCTGGCAGCAGCTGCTTACGGAGCAGGATGGCTGGCAACATGCTGAGCCACAGCTAGTGGACCCGCAGCTGTCTTCACAAGTCACCAGTTGCCATGTCTGGCTCCGGCAGGAACTGGGCAAGCACACCGGTGCCCCACAGCTCACCTCGGTGGAGCAGAGAGAGACGGCTGGCAGGGAGGGGCATTTCCTAGAGCAACAGCTGCCAGGCATGGTGGAGAGACTCTGCTTCCTGGGGGTGTGGAGAGGTGGCTGCCCGACTGTGCCAGGAGATGGCTGCCCGACTGTGCCTGCTCTCCTGGGGCCCTCACCTTTATACTCCTCTCTGGGGCACGCTGTTTGGGGAACCTTGCTTCTTTTCCTTGTTGCCTCTGCCCCAATTCATGGAGGAACATCTCATTATGCCAAGGTCTGTTGATCTAGGAGTTGTTTGTCTACTCATAAAGAAGAAGTTTGTTTGTGAGACGGCTAAATATGGAATCGTCGGAGCTACAGGTAGTCTTGCAATAAGCACTGTCGCCTGCAAGCAGCGAGGTCTGTACTTCCTAGCATCATGCATGGGGAAAGAAGAGAGCAACTTACAATTCATCTGCACCACACCCTGGGCCGGGCACAGAGGATGCCCACAAGAATGCAACCTCCTGCCCCATCCTCAGGGATGGCACTCTGGCGGGCACAGGATGCAGGCAAACTCACAGCACCCCGGGGATTCGATCCACAGACACACAGGTTAGCAGATGAGGTGGTGACAGCTGTTCCGAAAGGGATGTCCAGACTGGATTTTTAACGGCTGCACCTCAGGGTACCAAGCACACCTCAAACCATCAGCAATTCCACCATACCAAGAGGATTGTCTCCCAGCGAGGTGGAGTGAGAGTCAGGAAGGCTAGCTGCCACTTGCTGGAGACCAGGCACAGCCCAGCCGTGGTGGACAGCTGTGTCCTTTCTCCACAGTGACCTGTGTGGACTGACGCTCTGCAAGCAACCTTACCAAAGCCACGCGCCCGCCTCAGCCACAGCCTGCCTCCTGTCGTGCTCCTGGAGCAGCTGCAAGGCCTGGCCCTGGGAAACCCGCACCTCAGCCTCTCTTCCCCTCCTCGGTCCCTCCCAACCTTCTGTAGATGACCAGGGTCCTCCTTGCCCTTGGAGATCTGGACAATTCCTAAAGGAAAGATGGAAAGAAGAGGGGCCGGTGAGATAGCTCAGTGGTCTAAAGCACCTGCTTAGGCAAGCTTAGGCAGGTGCAGGGGACCACAGTTCAATCCCCAGAACCACATCCCACATCAGCCCC